TGCAGGATTTAGCACTAGCTCTTCCCTGGGCCTGGAGCGCTTTTCCCTGGGCCTGGATCACTCTTCTGCAGATGTGCCTGAGTCTCTGCCTCAATTTATTCAAGTCTGTGCAAATGTCACAGGCCTTTGCCAACCAGTCCAACACCCCTTTAATTTTTATTGCCTACCTTACTGATTTTTCTTTTTTTTTTTAAGATTTTATTTATTTATTCATGAGAGACACAGAGAGAGAAAGAGAGAGAGGCCGAGACACAGGCAGAGGGAGAAGCGGGCTTCATGCAAGGAGCCCATTGTAGGACTCGATTCCGGGACTCCAGGATCACGCCCTGGGCCAAAGGCAGGTGCTAAACCTTTGAGCAACCCGGCATCCCCTGGTTTTTCTTTATAGCAGTCAGCACCACTTGACATCATATGTACTACTTTGGTGGGTTTTTGTTGGTCTTCCCACTACCATGTAAACTCCACCATTACTTCACTGTCATCATGTGCCTGGCACACAGAAGATGCTCAATTAGTAACTGTTTGGCTGGCCGAATATATGATATTGACTTTAAAAAGATCTCAGAGTGATCTATCAATATTTTTACCAGAATAATAATTAATATGTAGTCCAGATGTGTTTTATATTGTTTATTTCTATATTTGGATTCTTATCTTTTTAAAGGATTGACCCCTTACTCTCCAAAGATACATATTCCCTGTTTTACAGTTATTGTTGTTGTTTTCCTTTGGTATTCAGTCCCAAGTGAATGTCTAAAACTGGAGATGGACTGATTGAAAAAGTAGCAAAGAACAGAATGTGCACCCCAAAGTGAACTACTAGCATCTGTGTCCATTCATCCATTCAGCAGACATTAACTTAGCATTGTATGCCCAGGCATTGTGGTACATGCCAGGGATCGACTGGAAAACATGTAGCCAAATATCTCTAACCTAATGGAGCTTATATTTTGAAGGGGGAAACAGAAGAAAATATAAACATAATAAATAAGGAAATTATTTAGTATGTTTGAAGGACACACTAGAGTGGTCATAGAAGGCCTCATTGAGAAGCTGACTTCTGGGCAAAAGTTGAATGACCGAGTGTGAAGCCATGTTCATACATGTGGGAAGAGCATTCCAGGGCATGCTCATGCAATAGCCAGGGCAGAAGTCTGAGACAGGAGCGTGCCAACTGTGCACGGACAGAGGAAGTCAGAGGCCACTGAACAAGGAGGAACAAGGAGGAAGAGTGATAGGAGATGATACCTAGAAGAAACACAATGTAGGTCACACAGTTCCCTGGAGGCATTAAAAGAACTTTGATTTTCACACAGGCCAATAATTTTTAGAAGGCGATAAAATAGTAGCTGTTGCCAGTCCATTCAACTAAACCGTATTTCCTGATTGTTCCATATAAAAGGCTATTCCGTGAAAAAACAGTATGTTAGCACTATTTTTGATAATTATTATATTGTTACTTAAGATGATTGTTACCATAATCTTAATTACACAATAGTAAAGTATTACTATTGACAATACAAAATGGAAAAAATAAAAAAAATTGAGGCTTAAAGATTGGCTAACTTTAATTTTTTAATAATAGCTTTATTGAGATCTAGTTCACAGACCGTTCAGTTCATCCAGTTAAAGTGCACAATGCAGTGGTTTTTAGTATATTCACAGAGTTGTGCAACCATAATCATGATCAATTTTAGGACCTTTCCACCACCCCAAAAAGAAACCCTATACCCACTAATAATCAGTCCTTATCTCCCATGTTGGCCTTTTTCCCCTCTGTCAGATTTAAAAATAAGAATCATTTACTTTACCAGCAAAAATGGGTTTATTTGGGAATAGAAAATGCAGTTCAGGACATGCAAGCTATGGCAAAACCATAGGCAAGGACAACAAAGGAGAGAAATGTTATTTTACGGTAAAAAAGAATGGAGTTGAGAGGAGTTGTTTTGAACTAAAATCCAATAGGGGAAAAACACCAGTTCAGGGAGATGTTGGTTTCTCATTGGCTGAGTTGTAGGGCTAGTCAGTTTCTTATAGGAGGTACATTGTACATCTTTCCCTTTGGGGGGCCTATAATTAATGATTCATTCTTATTGAGATTCTTCTTTTGTAATAATTCTTCCTCTAATTGACATTGAGTGGTAGGGCTCCCACTTTCAGCCTCTGGACTCTAGTGAGGTGTCCCTTTACTAATTTTCACATCCCTCGACCTCTCTTATCAACCCTTAGGCAACCACTAATTTACCATCTGCCTCTTTAGATTTGTCTATTCTAGACACCATATAAATAAAATATGTGGTGTTTGAGTCTGGCTTTGCCTACATAATGCTTTCAAGGTTCATCTGTGCTATATAGCATATCAGTATTTCATTGCCTTTCATATCTGAATAATATTCCATTTATAGATATACCCCATTTTCATTATCTTTTCATCAGTTGGTAGATGTTTGGGGGTTTTGCACCTTTTGGCTACTATGAATGATGCTGTTGTGATTATTCACGTGCAGGTTTTTATGTGAACATATGTTTCATTCCTCTTCAGTGTATATGTAGGAGTAGAATACAGTGGCTCTTAAAATCCATCGTAAGGGACTAAGATTGCTCAGATTAATTGATTACTTTTATATCTGGCTTGATCAAGAACTATTAATGAAGTATTTAGGAAAAAAATAAGTTTTAGATTAGGAGAGACCCTCAAAATCGATCTACATATCAAAACAAGTAGATCAGCTAATAATACTTTTCAGGAGTAGATAGGTTTTGTGTAAAAAATCACATATATATGTCTATGGAATATGTTCCACCATAGAACTAAAGCAAATAGAGAAAAGGGGTTATATTGGCCACTAAAGCTTTTTGTTTTGTCAAGTGAGTTTGCAGAAGACAAGATATAATTTGTGGTGGGGAGGTGAGCTGGCAGCACTGACCAAAGCTGTCATATTGCCAGGCAGGTAATGGCCATTTCTAGAGGGGTCAAGAGTTGAAACGACAACCCTCCTTGGGGAAACATTCATCAAATCATAAGCACCCCAGGTGCTCCTTATGACTGGCACTGGAAAAAGCATAAACTAAGGAGGCTTTGAGTACTCAAAATCTAGTTGGAAAACAAAATTATAAAATTATAAGAGATCAAAGCCCTCTTCGAATGTAAGGAATTGTTTGCAAATTCTGAAAAAAATTTTCATCTGATGGTATGGTGCTAGCTTGGTCTCTGTTTTTTGTTTTTGTTTTGTTTTGTTTTTTAAGTAGGCTCCATACCCAGCATGGAATCCCAGTGCCAGCTTGCTCTTAAAAGCATAAATCACTTTGCCCTAAACTGCTTTTTTCTCCTGCAATCCTCCCAGGGCCCTGAGGTTTCTCACCACCAGGAATGCTCATAGGATGGGTGGACTGACACCCAGGGAGTTTGGGAACTGAGGAGGTGAAGGGATCTTAGCCACAGAAGTCTGACTGTCCTGCTTTTGTGGTCTTGAGTCAGACTCCAGTGTGCGTGTGGTGAGGGTGCTGTGGTCTAATAGGTCATACCCTCCAGCTTGCCTGACTCAGGGTGATGAGTGTCCCCTGCTTTGCTCAATGGCAGTGGGAGCCTAGCTCCCACTCACCAAAGTGGAGGCAGAGGCAGGGGTGGCTGCTGGCCTCAGAGCAAGAAGTTGGGGCAGTGGAGGACTCCACAAACGAGCTGGGGATGGCCAGAGCTGACCAGTTCCAAAGGGTCTGTTTACCCAACAAGATCTGAGGCCCCATATCTCCTGTCTGCCACTCCTACCCCGCACTGGGGTGTATTTCCAGAGACCAGCTATCTGTAAAGTGGACAAAGCAGCCTATTTCTGGTACCTGCTCCAGGACAGCCTGTACATTCCTTTAAAATTATCCAGGTACATGAAGGGTCCAAGTTTTTTCTTTACATGACCTGTAACAAAATCAGAAGCTGTGAAGTACAGGTCTCAATCTCCCTATGAATACTGTTTCTTGTTGCATTAAATTCTCTCCTTTTAAGGAAGAGCTCTACTCATACGGGACACACTTCTCTGAAATTGTCCTGGCCACCAAAGATTTATTAAGAATGGAGGAGATGAAATGGAGCGTCTTCCAGAGCTGTTCTTCCTCTTTTTTCCTTTTTCTTCTGTGAACTGAACACCATCAGGTTTGAGAACTAAGTTAGACATTACATATAATCTCATATAATCTTCTCATTTTCTGGGTAAAATTGAGGCCCAGGAGAGTCCAAGTGACTAGAACAGGATCAGAGATATGGTAGGCAATGGAGCTGGGCTTGAAAGTCTCATCCCCTTCACCCGTACCCACGATTCCCTCTTCTCTCCACACACCACAGTCAGCCAGGAAAACAGATCAGTCACAGAATCCTCAGAAAATATTTGCCCCGGGTTTCTAAGGTTGCCTCATCCTTGCTCTCCTTTTCTCATTCTACCCCTTGCCAGAGCATGAGGTAGCTAAGAATGACATTGACCACATTCTGTAGTTAATTCTGATGTTTTGTTCTAAAGTTTATTGACTCACCAGTATATTGTTGAAAAAGAAAACTTTTCCTTGGAGGAATACTGAAAGCTTTAGGCAACTTCCTATTATCATAACAAAATATTATAACACAGCAAAAGTAGTCAGGGAATGTCATTCTAAACAAGTACAAACACAGCAGTGCCTTCTAGGTACTTATGGAGTCACTCAGTTGTATGCTGGCCCTGTTGTAGTCACTTAGACTTTCCACTCTGGCCAACCTCAGTGAGCCAGTGTGGCGTCACTGTACTCATGTGGGGAAGAGATGTGCAGCAGCACACCACTATGTAGTATTTCTACCATACAATCAATGTCAATAAGCCCAAGAACACAAATAATAAATTAATTAGGTTTGAGTATGTATTACTTTTGTATTCAATGTAACTTTTTGCACAGTAAATTGATAAGCTTAATTTTTAATACTAATTGTATATAAAAACTGGCTTAAAAATGCTGAAAATTGAATGAATGACTCTCACCAACAGGTATAGGCTGGCTTCAGCACACCACTGGGAATCATCTGCTCCAGACTTTGTTGATTTAATTAAGTGACCTGCAGTGCAGCCCTCATGGGAATATGTAAACACAAACCACATATAAGCTGAGGACTCTTGGCCTCTTGGTTTTTATTCATAAAGTTACGGGCCCTCATTAAATTTTTTCTTCCCTAAAAAACGATGCAATAAACAATAGACAGAAGTAAAAACTGTGTGGTCCATCTCATTCCTTCCATCCAGTTTTGTGATTTACATGCCACACCTCAGCTCTAAAGGTGATAATAACAAGGAGTAGATGGGATCTCTTCTCTTGTGACTAATCTTACCAATGAGTGAAAGCATAGGCGCTATGCTAAAAGCTTCATATGTTCTCATTTAGTTCTGACGACAGTTTATTCCCATTTTAAAAAAGAGGAGTTTGAAGTTTTGCAAGTTTAATTACCAAGATTGCAGCTGTTAAAAAGCAAAGCTAGAATTTAAACTCAGGGAAATTTGATTTAGATTAAAGCGTGATTAAAGAGACTGAGGCCAAATAAAGGCCTAACACAATTCTTACAAGGACTGAGGTCAAAGACATTGTGAAAATTGCTGTTCATGAGTTGGACTTACAGTCATTATGCAGTCAAAGCTGTCATTAAAGTGGAATAATAGCCCAATGAAGCGATAGTATGGCTGGAGAGAAATAAGAGAGAGTATTAGTTATCTATTGTCACAGCTGCTGTAATAAACAGCCATAGAACCACCGTAGCATACAACAGTAACTATGTTCAAGTGTCTTGAGTCAACAGCAAGCAGATTAATCTCTGATCTTTGCTGGGGATTGTTCCCATGTGTGAGGTTGGGTGGCTGTTGCTCCATTAGCTGGAGTGACTTGGCTGTGCTTTAGATTTTCCTTATCTTCCAGCAGACTAACCAGAGCCTGTTCTCATGATGGCAACACAGGCACAGAGCATAAGCAGACACAAGACCTCTTGAGCCTTGGCTTAGATCTGGCATATTATCTCTTCTAATTAATATACTACTATTAGCTAAAGCAAATCACAAGGACAGGCTATATTCAAAGATCGGTAAAAACAGACTCCATCTCTATAGTGAAAGGAACTGCAAAGTCACATGATAAAGGACATGGGATTAGAGAGAGGTAAAGAATTGGCACCGTTAAGGCCATGTATCAATCAAGAGGTAAGTAGAGTCATCCGTGGAGAATGTGGTCATCATCTCCTGGTAGTCATACACTGCCATGCTTCATGAACTTTTTTCCCTGGTACTTACTTTTAATCAGGCTATGACTATTCCTGGGCCATCAGCATGGCACCTTGCAAGGAGTCATGAACTTTGAATTTTGGTCTAAATCAATGATCTAGTGCTGAAGCTATGAATTTCACCCATCTGCAACTGCATCATGAGGGCTTTGCTGCTCAAAGCATGTATTTATTCCTCCCTCACTGAAAACTCCAAATTGTGAATATGTGAAAGGGGGTTGGAGTAGGACTACGTGCCTGAATTTTCTATTCTGGTCAGTCAATAACCCTCTTTTCCCTCTTTCCCACTTCCATGTATTTTGTCTTCCCTTCCACATCTTTTCTGCCCCTTTGTTAGCCAGCTCCCTGCCCATTGAAGCTAACATACATGGACTATGTCCAAAGGCTTCAATATCCACTGGCTTCCAGCTGGGATGACTAAAAAAGAAGACCCAGGAGACCTAAGAGGAGGTAGAAAATTAGGTCAGGATATTTATGTTCCTGAGTCTCTCTTTGTGAGATCACCTTGGCTTTCTGAGCCTTTTGAACTGACCTAAATGACTCATTCTTGCTCTCCTTCCAGATCCTAGAAACCATTCACTCCCTTCATTCTTCTGGGCCTACGGATGACAACCAGCCCCAAGTTTCTGCACCATCCCTACTATTCCCTCAACACATTACCTACCTCTTTAGAACTAATTCCTTTATCAATAAACTTACTTAAATTTTCCTAAGTTGAGTTTTGCCTTGTTTCCCTCTTGATACTCTCACATATAGAAAATACTCAATGATTCCCCAAGAGAAATGATCTAAGATTCCATCTGTCATGTATCCTGCTCAAAATACAGAATATCCATATGATACACAACTGTTTGTGTCCAAATATAGTTTTTCTTAGTCCAGAATCTTGTGAACTAAATGTATTTTCTACTTGCCCCCATTATATAATGGTACAAAAGAAATAAAATTAACCACAATAAATAGGAATAATGGAAGACACATAACAGCCATTTGTCTCCTCTCTCTGGGGACACTTTTAAGGATCTGGACTTGAAGAATATTACTTGATTAGACACTCATTCTGTTCTCTGGGAGACTCCTTGCCCATTGTTCTCCAAGATGCTTGGATCTCTTTCCAGGATATTCTTATTTGTCCGTTATATTCCTTGGCCACATTTAATGGGCACTGGGGAATATACTGCCCTTTGAGCTTGCACAATTTTTTTCAGCCTGCTTCCCGACCATGAATGATTGGGAGACCAAGAGTTATTTTAAACTTCAGGATTTATAAGTCTTTGGCAGCAAAATTTTCTAAAAAAAATCAGTAGGCCTCTAATTCACTTGCTTCCAATAAGTTCTACATATCAGTAATCATACAGTTCTTTTAAATGCCATTTAAAATGTCTACTTCCTCACCTTCTCAGCATGTCTCTAGCTTTTAATTTACTGAGGCTATTGGCTCTAGTTAGAAGATTACACATTAAAAAAAAAAAAAAACTTTAGCTTTGCAGAGTGGCAGTATCATAGCCGATGAGGTTTATCCGAGGCGCGATTATTGCTAATTAAACAACAACAACAAGAAAAGAAAGAAAAGAAAAGAAAAGAAAAGAAAAGAAAGAAAACAAAGCTTTGCTTTGAAAGATCTTACAGATAAAACTGGCAATAAAAACCCTTCTAAATCCCAACTCCTATGTTGAGGGGGTTTCAAAGCCAACTCTTCCCATAGTTCAGGGCCCCAGATTTCTGCATTAGTTCTCTATCATTCAGTTCTGTATGTGCACCTCTGTGGTTCTCTCTGAAATCGCCCCTTTCAAATCTTTGACCCTTTGCCAAATCTGGACACAGAAAAGTAATAGCAAAATTAAGATCCAGGTTTTCAATGTCTTTCCTGAGTATCTGGCTTAGAACCCAAATGGCCTGGTACCAAGTAGGCTTCCTCAGATGACAGTTTTACCAATATTTTGTTCCTGAGAAACACAGATTGCCATGTTTGTTGCCTCTGATGCATTTCTTTCTTTTTTTTTAAGATTTTATTTATTTATTCATCACACACACACACACACACACACACACACACACACAGGCAGAGACATAGAGGTAGAAGCAGGCTCCATGCAGAAAGCCTGATGTGAGACTCGATCCTGGGATCCCGGGATCACACCCTGAGCCAAAGGCAGACGCTCAACAGCTGAGCCACCCAGGCGTCCTGCCTCTGATATGTTTCATCACTATATACCACCAGTCACTAAACCAAAACTACACATTTTAGATTTTGATGTATTTCTTAGTCAGTTGGGGCTGCTGTAACAGAATGCCATGGACTAGGTTGCTTATAAATGAGGAAATTTATTTCTCACAGCTCTGAAAGTTCAAGATTAGGGCTTGGTCAGGTTCTGGTGAGAGCTCTCTTCTGGACCCCAGACTTCTGACTGCTCCATATTCTTACATGGCAGAGTGCACAGAGAGGAAGCAAGTGTTCTCCTGATGCATAATTATAAGGTCACTAATCTCATGAATGAGGACTCGACTCTCGTGACCTCATCTAATCCTGATTACTTCCCAAAGGTCCTACCTCCTATTATCACTTTGGAGGGTAAAGTTCTGAAGTATGAATTTGGAGGACACAAGCATTCAGTCCATAAGAGCAAGCAATCCTCCACTTCTGTTAACAATTCTGACATTAGGATAGTGCTAGCTTGTGTTGTTACAAATTAATCCTGAAAACCCAGTTTATTAACATAGAAGAGCTTTATTACTCATGCTACATGTCCAGCAAAGGAGTTCATGACACACCATCCCATGGTGGTGGAAAATGGAGGAGGAAAGTACATGGAACACTCAGTAGCTCTTAATACTTGGCTGGAGTGATACTCATCACTTCTACATATGTATCATCAGTCAAAACAGCTCAGGTGTGGGCTCGTCAATGTGGGAAAGTGTGTGGGAATTCCATGAGCATCTCCACTTTTGTCACATTTGTATAAGGTACATTCACATCTTTTAAGTGGCATAGGACTTAGTTTACACCCTTCTGTAACACAGCAATTACATAGAAATAATATATATATATATATAAATATAATATGTATATACCAGTACTAATTGCTTATTTAATATCAATTAGATGATACTGAAAATTTTACACAAGAGTATCACTAATAAGGAGAACAGAGAACTGTAGCAGTTTTCTCTGTGAAGTAGATGTCTGATGTTCAGGGAGTAGTGAACTAACCAGCAGGGCTTATTTTTTATTCTTTACCGACATTTACAGCCTGTGTTGACACTTCCCACATCATCTCCCACACCATTGACGGGGAGGATGATATTCAAAATAATAACCAGTTTGGCATAGAGAGGGACTAGGCAGTCGAACAGAACAGGCCCTCTCAGGATGGCTGCTCACTGTTAATGACTGCTGTGTTTGTGCCAGTGTGTGCCGGGAGACCCCATTCTGGCTGTCTTCCAAGCACTGGCAGCATTCTTCAACCTGTCAAACTTCAGCACGTCCACCTTGCTTTTGCACAAATGGTGCCCCAGCCTGTAATTCTATTCTGTATCTGGAGAAACTCCTCAGGTCCTCTTTCATGTCTGAGTTCCAGTAGGATTTTTCTGGGGAGGATTCACAGTTGCCTTCTCCCAGCTCTTCATTTCCTCCTCCTGTCTTTTTCAGAGTGCTACATCGGTTCTGTTACATTAATTATTACACGGTACTAGCATTAATAATATTTACATCTTGTCACTCCCACTAAACTTTGAGCCCCTCTAAAAAAAAATAATAGGCGCCTGGTTGGCTCAGTCAAGGGAGCATGTGACTCTTGATCTTGAGGCCCCATGTTGGGTGTAGAGATTGCTAAAAATAAATAAATTTTAAAAATAATAACAAGAGAGGCA